CCTCCCGATCTCGGCCTCCTCAGTAGCCAGTATGACACATGCAAACCACCAAAGCCTGGCTGCATTGTTTTCCTGAGAACGGCTGGCTTCCCAGTGTGCCCCTCTCCCTGGTCCTGTAAGCTCAAGTTTCCTTCCTAGTCCTAGTTTTCTAAATGAATTCATCGTGACTGGGACAAGGGCACTCAGTGTTGCAGGGCGAGCATGAGGCAGACTCATTTTCCTGTTGATTCATTTTGCAATACTGGGGTTTGAATCTAGGCTTGTACTTGCTACACCTGCACTCGACTCCTCGGGCCACACCCACTGGCCTTTTTGCTTTATTTTTTCAGATAAGGATCTCAAGTTGTTTTTTGCCTGTAGCAGCCGGAGATCTACCCATCTGTGCCTTCAAACCTAATTGGCAAGCCTTAGCTACGGCTTTCCAAATAGCTGGGACTACAGGTGTGAATCAATACATCCTTCTCATTTGTTGAGATGGCGCTCTTGATTACATTTTGCCTAGGTTGGCTTCAAACCCCCCAAACCCCAGTCCTTTTAGTGTGTTTGTGTGTGTGTGTGTGTGTGTTTGCACCAATCCTGGGGCTTGAACTTAGGGCCTTGTGCTCTTCCTTGGCTTTTCTGCTCAAGGTTGGTGCTCTACCAATTGAACTACACTTCTACTTCTGGCTTTTTAACTAGTTCATTGGAGATAAATCATATGGATTTTCCTGTCGGGGCTGGCCTCAAACTTTGATCCTCAGATCTCAGCCTCCTGAGTAGCTAGGATGGCAGGTGTGAACCATTAGCGCACTGCTAAATCCTGGCTTTTCTGCATTTGTCATCTCTCTCCCAAAGTCTGGGGAAAAAAAATATTGTGCTGAAGCCATAACGTTAAGTCCTAATTGAGCTACTTTTTGCTTTGTTTTTGCTGCCAGGGCAGAGGCTTGAACTCAGGGCCTTGTGTTTGCAAGACTGGCGTTCAACCACTTGAGCCACAACCTTAAACCTGGATCCAGCTTTAATTTTTTCTGATAAAGTCTCACACTTTTGTTTCCCCGCTCCTCCCCGCATGGTTCTCAGACCACGATCCTCCTATGTCTGTCTTTCAAATACAGGGATTACAGAAGTGTGTCACCAGCCTCAGCTCTAATTAAGCTCTTTTCGTACGGTGATGACAGACCCAGGTAACACAAATGTCGGGCCTGGCCAGCCCGGGGAAGGTGGTGGGAAACACAGCTGACCCAGTTCCCATGTGAGCCCAAGCACCAGGAAGTCACCACCCGCCTGTCTCTGGAGCCTTCATTTGACAACTGTGATCCTAGATCAAGAAGATCCTAGATCTTCTCCCATCGGGCCTCGATTCTCCCCATCTCCCCGGTGTGTGGAGTGGCTGCCAGGCCCCAGCTTGGATGGGGTGAGGCGAGGCCAAACTTCCATCTGTACCCGGCCAGATGCAGGTGCTGATTTACATGATGGTTTTCAGCCAGGCAGGAGCCCAAAGCCGGAAGACAGAGACGGGCATTTCTGGGCATGGCCAGCAGGGGGAGTGGCAGAGCGGAGTTGGGAATTGGCGGCTGAGAACTTTTAATTCCCCCTTTGATAAGCACTCAGTGAGTGCTTATCACTGAGTCCCTGCAGAGTACTGTTCGACTTGCTTTCCCAGAAGCTACTGGGGCGCCAGCCCCATTTGACGATGGAGCCCAGAGAGATGAAGGACATTGCTGAACCTCACCCAGATAGTGAGGGCGGGTGGGCTGGTTTGTTTCGGTGCCAGGGCCTGGTGCTCTTATCAATGAATTACACCCAGCCCCGAGAATGCAGATCCTCGCCCCCCAGCACCGAGTTTGAACTCAGGACCTCCCACTCTCCTTTGGCTTCCTTGATTGCAGCTGATGCTCTACCACTTGAGCCACGCCTCCAGTCTGGCATTTTGACTGATGAATTGGAGATGCAGTTTAGTGGATTTGCCTGAGCTGAAGAGCTGAGGGACAGCGCCCAGGCCCAGAGTTCACCAGGACCAACACACACACACACACACACACACACACACACACACACACACACACACACACTGTGGAAAAAAGGGCTGGAGGCAGAGCTCAAGCGGAAGAACACCATCCTAGCAAGTATAAGACCCTGCGGTTCAATCTCTTGACTCAGCAATGTGGCTGCTAAGTACCTGCCCGAGAGAGAGTCACAGCAGCTTTGTTCCCAGTGTCTAAATGAGAAATATCTATGTCCATCCACTGGGGAGGGGCCCTATGCACCATGCCACTTAGTGGAATATTACGCAGCCATGAAAGGAACGCAGTACTGATCCACAACCCAACACAGACTGTGAAAATGTGCCCAGTGATCTGTGATCACCAAGCTAAGTGCTAAGTGAGCATGTGCTCAATGATTGCTGCTAAGCCAGAACGGATCAGCTTTGTGATATAAACTGTAAAGCCCTGGAAACACAAATGGACTCTGGTCCCTGGAACTGGGGGTTGTGGGGAAGAGAAAGGGACAACTAACTGCTGTTGTTTTTTCTTTTACTTTTGTGCTGGTCTGGGGCTTGAACTCAGGGCCTGGGTGCTGTTTCTTAGTTTAGTTGCTTTTGCTCTTTTTGTTGTTTGGTTTTTCCATTCAAGGCTGGTGCTCTACCACTTAGGCCACATCTTCACTTCCGGCTTTTTGCCGGTTGGTTGGAGCTAAGTCTCTCCTTGCCCTGGCTGGCTTCAAACCGTGCTCCTCAGATCTCAGCCTCCCGAGTAGCTGGGATGACAGGCGTGAGCCACAGTACTCGGCTCTGAAATTCATTTCCTACCCACAATCTCGGGGACTCAGTACCCCACATTCAGGCAGGCGCCACTCCCTTTTGCAGCCTGCCTGGCTAAAGCATCCTGGTTTCCAGAACACTCCCCCTGCCCCGGCCTCCACCTGGGAAAGCTGCCCCGAGAGGGGCCTTGTGATGGCCTTTAGCTGCCTCGTGTCCCGTCCCCGTTTCCTGGGCTTTTAGGGGGGCTCCACTCTGTACCCACTCTTTGCCAGGCAGGGTGAAGGGGAGGAGCGGACAGTCCACCCATCCCAACGCCAGCCTGTGTCTCCCCATCATGAAGTCTGCCCCCCCCCCCAAACCAAGAGGCCCCTACCCCAAGCCTCCAACACCCCTGGACCCCCACTCTGCCTCCTCATGGGGCCTCAGGATTGGCCAGGTCTGGTGGCTGCATGGCACCGGCTTGTCCATGTCTGCGGCCCAGAGCCTGGTGCTGGAGCAGGGTCTCAGGGACCTAGGGGCGTCTCCCATGGCTTTCCATTCGATTCTTTCACTCAGCTCCCGCCCCTGGGGAGCCGGCTGAGGGCACCCCTCAGCTCTGGCCAGCAGTTTCCCCTCTTCTCCCACCTTGGCTGCCCTACCTGCCCCCCTCCTTCCCCCGGAGCTCAGGGAGAGGGGGGGACTTTCTCAGGGGACACGACGGGCAGAAAGATCTGGAGGATCACAGTTCCAAGCCAGAAAAGTCTAAAAGAACACCACCAAACACACGACCTGACTTACATAACTGTAACCCATCTGTATATCACCTTTATCATTAAAAATAACAACTTGGGGGGAGGGAGAATCACCAGCAAAAAGCAGGGCTGGAGGCCTGATTCAAGTGGTAGAGCGCCAGCTGAGCAGGATGCCAGGCCCCAAGTCAAGCTCCCATGCTACGCCCCCCCCCCCCCAAAAAGCCAAATTCATTGGGTTGTTTATCTTCCCTTGGTCCCCACTGAGGGGAGAACTGGGAGGATTGAGGGCTTGTTTTGGGGTGACCCCGTGAGCATCTTGTGGGGGGTGTGGGCTGGCTTGTCCCCTGTTATCCAAGACCCAGAGCAGACCCAGAAGTCAGGCCAGCTCCCTTAAGGGGCTCTGGCCCACGCTGGGGGTGGAGGCTGGGCCTCCTGGAGGCCTTGGGGTGAGGGGTCTTTGCTTCTGGGGGGCCGGGGTGCAGTGTGGCTCGGTGGGGCCCGGCCACAGTCTCCCCCTCCCCCACCTTTTCTCAGAAGCCCGTGAGAACCGGCCACCCTTTCCAGTGCATACAATGGGAGTCTTTCCCACGCACACAGGGCTGTCCCTAGGCCTCAGTCCTCAGACCCAAGACCCAGCCGTCCCTGCTGGGGGGGGGGGTTCCCCCCTCCTACGCTGGGGGGGTTAAGCCAGATTTGCAGATCAAATTTCTGTGTGTGTGTGTGTGTGTGTGTGTGTGTGTGTGTGTGTGTGTGTGTGTGTGTGTGTGTGTGTGTGTGTGTGTGTGTGTGTGTGTGTGTGTGTGTGTGTGTGTGTGTGTGTGTGTGTGTGCTGGTCCTGGGGCTTGAACTCCAGGCCTGGGCGTTGTGTGGGTCCCTGAGTTTTTTCACTCAAGACGAGCACTCTACCACTTTGAGCCACAGCTCCACTTCTGCTTTCCTGGTGGTTCACTGGAGATAAGAGTCTCATGGACTTTCCTGACCTGGCTGGCTTTGAACTTGGAGCCTCAGATCTCAGCCTCCTGAGTAGCTGGGATACCAGGTGTGAGCACCAGTATGGGGCTGGGAAAATGTCAACTTTGGACTCATGTACAGGCCAGGAAATTGCATTCCAGAGAGGGCTAGGGACTGGCCAAGGTCACACAGCAAGCTGGAGTGCAAATCTCCAGGTCCCCTTGAGCTTGTCAGCCATTGACACAAACCGCCCTCCCTCCGCCATAAAAGGCCCCCCACTAAAGGAGACAGAGAAAAACAATTGTAAGACCAGAGACTCCTCTGGGCCATGGAAACCAGCTTTCTCATGCTCTGGGCTGGACCAGAGAGCGCAGCACCCCCAAATGATGTGCCCCCATCCAGTATGAACTGCATTTTTAAGAGAGCTTTCTAGATCCTTCCTTTGGTTTCCCAGGTAGAGAAGGAAGGCTGAGGGGGTGGGGGAGGGAGAGAGAGAGAAAGCAAGATCCCAGGGTTGAATCCAGACCTTGGCTCCAAGCCAAGTGCTCAGGGACACCCCGGCCCCAGGACCCACTTACCTGCACCCCAGATTGTCCCCAGTGGTCCCCACACTGGGGCACAGGGGGCCCTCTCTGCTGTCCGGCATCTTGGGGTCCCTGGGTGGTGAGTCTCGGGCTCCAGATCTGTGTGGCCTGGGCTGGAAGTTTTCTGCGGCGGAGCGGGGGAGGGAGGTCGGGGGAGGGAGGTCTGGGGGAGAGGCCGGCCTTGAGCCCAAGGTGGAGGCGGGGCCGGGGCTGGGGGAGGGGGGTGCACCCCCAGTGACCCACATGGGCCCATTTCCTCCCGGGTTTGAGAAGCTCCTTGGTAGTGAAGTGACTCAGGAGGAAAATCTTTCCTTTTTCTTCCCCGGGTTTTGTGTCGCTGGTGAGGAGAAGAATTTTAATGAAGTTTCCTCTTTTCTCATGCAAATCTCACTTCAGTTCTTCCCAGGGGTCTGGCCCAGGGGCTGTGTGTGCGGGTTGGGGGGACAGGGTTTGAACGCAGGACCTGAGCTCTGTCCCTTCCCTTGGTCATTCCAAGGCTGGCGCTCTACCCCTTGGGCCACACCTCCACTTCGGGCTTTTTTTTTTTGCTGGTTCGTTAGAGATAACAGGACTTTCCTGCTGGGGCTGGCTTTGAACCACGATCCTCCTATCTCAGCACCCTGGGTGGCTAGGGGTGAGCCAGGCTACCCCCGCTCTCATTTGAAGTAATGAGTGACCCTGCACACACCCTCCACACCCACATGACTCACGTTCTGAGGCTCTTGGGGGGCCATAAGGTTGTGGGGGACACCATTCTGCCCAGTGGGGGGAGCCCACCCCTCCGGGAGTCCCCCGCCCCCCCAGGGCTCCCTCCCCAGCACTGCTGAAGGCCTGGAGTCTGGTTTTAGGCCTCACTTTACACTGGATCTCAGGGGGATGAAGGGGACAGTCTGGACTAGCTGCAGGGACTCCCCCAGCTCCCAAGAGACAGGAAGGGGGGGGCCCTGCCAGGGGGACCAAGAACAAGGATGCCATTCTTGGCCAGCAAGCCCCAAGCCTGGCCAAGATGAGAGAGAGATAAGTAACCAGTAACATCGCGTCTTCCTGCAGTTCCTCCCCTCCCCGCCGCCCCGCCCCTCCCTCCCCTTCCTCCTGACACCTCTTCTCTCCCTCCTCTCCCTTCCCTCCCCTCTGCCTCCTTCCAGCTGTGAAGGGGGAGGTGTAGCTGGGTGGGGCGGGGATCTGAGTGATTCTGGAAAAGCCTTTCCAGGTCTGCTGAGACCTGATGGCTGTGGGACCAGCACTGTGGCTGCCGCCTGTCATCCCAGCGACTCGGGAGGCTGAGATCCAAGGATGGCAGTCGGAAGCCAGGAAAAGCCCATGAGACTCTTATCTCCAATGAACCGCCAAAAGGAGTCAGAAGTGGTGCTGTGGTTCAGCGGGTAGAATGCCAGCCTGGCGTGGGGAAAAGCTCCGGGACAGTGCCTGGGCCCTGAGTTCAAATCCTAGGACTAGTAAAAAAAAAAAAAAAAAAAAAAAAAGCAGCAAGGGACAAGGCCTGCATGTGCAGTGATGTCTGCCAAGGACAGGGATGGCCAGGGTGAGGGGAGAGAAAGCCGGCGAAGCCCAGCCTCCTGCCCTGGGAGAAGCCGCCAGAAACCCAGATCCTTGGCAGCTACCCAGGGCCCGGGACAGAGGCAGAAGCCGGGACATTGCCCAGCAAAGGAAGTCGGCCTTAGTGGAGTTTCACAACGGTTGTCCGGCCGAGTGTTGGTGCTCACGCCTGTCATCCCGTCTACTCAGGAGGCTGAAATCGGAGGATCGCCATTCAAAGCCAACCTGCGGAAGAAAAGCTTCTGAGATCTGATCTCCAACTAAATACCAAAAAGTCAAAAGTAGAGCTCTGGCTCAAGTGGTAGAGCACCAAGCCTTGAGTAGTAAAGCTCAGGGGCAGCGCCCAGAACCCCAGAACCAGCCCCAGAACCAGCACATGCGCACACACGTGCACACACATACCACCAGCACCAAAAAACAGTTGTCTAAGCTGGGCATGGTGGCACATGCCTGTAATCCCACACTCTGGAGGCTGAGGCAGGAGGATTGGGAGTTAGCTGGAGGCTAGCCCAGGCTACCTAGAGAAATCCTATCTCAAAAAACAAACAAACAAACAAAAACAACAAAAATCTCAGGGGCTGGGAAGGTGGCTCAATGGTAGAGCGCTTGCCTTGCATGCTTGAGGCCCCGGGTTCAATTCCTCAGTACCACATAAGCAGAAAAAGCTGGAAGTGGCGCTGTGGCTCAAGTGGTAGAGCGCTAGCCTTGAGCTGAAGAGCTGAGGGACAGCGCCCAGGCCCAGAGTTCAAGCCCCACGACCGACCAAAAAAAAAAAAAGAAACCCAAACCCAAAGTTATCTCATTTCCTTTTGGTAAAAATAAAGGAAGCAGGAGAAGGCCCAGACTTGGAATTCCAGGAACTGAGTTCAGCTCCTGCCGCTCCTGCTTAGGAGCTAGCTGACCTCAGCCAAGGCCATACATCTCCCTAAGCCCCAAACTTTCTGTTCTGATGAGGGTGGGCTAGGAAAGATCTAGACGCTTGGGAAGGGTCTGGTCTGGAACTAGCCACCAGAAGAGACTCTTTAGGAGACCACTGCCCCATTTCCTGTGACTCTTGGGCCTTCTGAGGAAGTCTGCCATGTCTCTTGGCACTCTAGAGGTTCAAGTCCCCTGACAGACGGGACCCCTGGACCCCTGTAAGATCCACATCGGACAGTAGTATCCTGCTCCCTCTGGAAGCTTCTCTCCTCAGTATAAAAGCAGAACTCCCAGCTGGGCACTGATGACTCACATCTGTCATCCCAGCTACTCAGGGGCTGAATCTGAGGATCACGGTTCAAAGCCATCCCGGGTGGGAGTCCATGAGACTGATCTCCAACAGACCTCCAGAAAACTGGAAGTGGCGCTGTGGCTCAAGTGGTAGAGCACTTGCCTTGGGCAAAAGAGCTCAGGGACAGCGCCCAGGCCCTGCGTCCGAGCCCCATGACAGACCCCCCAAAAGCAAAAACTTAATTTCTGAGCACAGGAGAACCATGGGCTCTGCTGCCCCCTGCTGGCCACATTGCATCTCAGTGCTGATGATCCACCCAGGAGCAGAATGGGGAAGGATTGAGCTCAAAGTCGGCCCCACTGCAGCCGCACCTCCTCTCCTCTGCCCGGGTGGAGGCCACAGGGCCTTATCCTCCAGATCTGGAGGGTGCCGGGCCCAGGTTGAAATCACTGGACTTGAGATTGGCTACCTGACCCAGGCTAAACCTCGTGGCCTCAGTTTCCCCTTCTGTAATATAAGGGTCTTGATCATCAGGAGCAGAAGACCTACCTAAAACCAGCTTAGGAGAAAGAAACGACCTGACTCAAGGTCAGTAAACACCCTCCTCTCTCTGAGCTCCTCTGGCCTCTTCTGAGAATGTTCTGGAACACCCCCCTCTACTCCCTGTGAATGCCAGGGGGCCATGAAGAAGACCACAGTAAATTCCCTTCCCTTTTCCTCCCAAGAATAGTCCAGCTGGGCTCATCTAGCTACTCAGGGGGGCTAGGAGCTGAGGATCCGGGTTCAAAGCCAGCTAGGGCAGGAAAGCCCATGAGACTCTTATCTCTGATGTACCAGTAAAAAAAAACTGGATGTGGAGATGTGGTGCAAGCGGTAGAGTACCAGCCTTGTACACAAAAGCCCTGAGCTCAAACAAAACAACAAAAATAAGGGAAACAAACTAACAAACATACAGGAAAGAAGAAAGAGAGAAAAAGAAGAAAGGGAGAAGAAAGAAGGGAAGAAAGAGAGGGAGGGGAAGGAGAGACACATGGAAGGAGGGGCAGGACTATATCCCAGCTAGGGGTGAGGCTTAGCAGACCAGCACCCAATCACCTGCCTGCTGGTCCCTTGAGCTACATGGATCCCCCCAGATTTCACCCCCCACTCCCACCCACACCATGCCAGAAAGAGGTTTTAATCACCCTGCCAATGTGTTGTGAAGTACACAAAGGAGCTGGTACTCAGGAAGCTGGGATCTGAGGATCACAGTTCAAAGCCAGTCTGAGCAGGAAAAGTCTGTGAAACTCTTATCTCCCATGAATTAGAAGAAAAGAAAAAGAGAAAAGAAAAAAGGTAGCACCAAAAGTAGAGCTGTGACTCAAGTGGTAGAGTGCTAGCTTTGAGCACAAAAGCTCAGGGACAGTGCCCAGGCCCCTAGAGTCAAGCCCTAGGCTTGGCACAAACAAATAAATAAGCAAATGAATAAACTATAAAGCAAACCCAGGTCTGAGGCTACCTAGAGCCTAGGCTTAACCCTTTGGAGTATTTTTATTTTTGCCAGTCCTCCTGGGCGCGGTCCCTGAGCTTTTTTGGCTCAAAGCAAAGCTGGGATCACAGGCTTGAGCCAGCAGGGCCTGGCCTATCTAGATTTCTAATCTATAACCTTGCTTTGCTAGTTTGTAAGCGTTGCCTGGGCTCAGGCCTTCATCCACATGCTTTTTAATTCATTCAGTGTTCATGGGTTAAATCTGGAGTCAACTTGTTGCTGGGTTGTGCAATAGTGCAATCCTATTGGTGGGTGTAGACAAGTCCATCATCCGGTCACGCCCCTCATTAGTATATATAATGCACCTTGGGATTATTTCCAGTTCTGGGCATTTTGTACTGCAAGTGCTCTGTCCCATGAATGAAATTGTGGGTGGGTGTCGCATGTCAATGTCCTGATTGCTCTCTTATCTCCAATGAGCCACAAATAGAGCCAGAAGTGGAGCTGTGGTGCAAGTGTAGACTGGTAGCCTAGAGTGGAAGAAAAAAAAGGAAGCAAGAGCAGGTCCTGAGTTCAAGTCCCAAGACTCACACACACACACACACACACACACACACACACACACACACACACACAGTAAAATAAGAAGTAAATTTCGGGCTGGGAAGGTGGCTCAGTGGTAGAGCGCTTGCCTTGCGTGCATGAGGCCCTGGGTTCAATTCCTCAGCACCACATAAGCAAAAAGAAAAAAGCCAGAAGTGGCGCTGTGGCTCAGGTGGTAGAGCACTAACCTTGAGCTGAAGAGCTGAGGGACAGCGCCCAGGCCCAGA